GGGCAAGGCTTATGCATTACTCAGAACTGCAAAAAAGAAAACTGAGACATCATATCATCACGTAGCCTAGGCCATGGACATTTGTATGTGTCTACACAGTACGAGAGAAAATATGATATACTTTTTGGAAAAGAACATTGTAACTAAACTCATGATAAATCAATTACATGCTTTGCAATCTTATTTTGCTTATGAATACTGGTTTTGGAGAGCGCATTAGCACTGGAAACAACATTCACAGAAGCTGGTTTGAGGACTCACCATCTATCACAGAACTGCAACTTCCGTGAAAATTACATTTTGCGCGAGGGCCAACCGGGGGGGGGGGGGGGGTGTTCCTTTTACTGCCTCTTCCATGACAAAAAGGAATATGAGGTGGAATAATAGATTCTTCAATTGATATAGCGTAAAATTTGGTTAGCAATGGGAAAATCAGGAATAATATCCACCGGGACCTGAAAAATAAGAGGAACAAATGATACACATCCTTCAAAAATTCCTTCAGTTCAAATAATAATTAGAAGATTACACGAAACTGAATCACAATCAATAGTCGGTCTAGGACAAATACTGTCCTTTCAGAATTAAGTTCCCACTTTTCATGCAAACTATACATACAAAAGGCCTAAACCAAAGATTTTAGCATTGCATTGAGGCACCAAACTAGAGAACAGAAATTTTGTGGACACAAGTAGAAAACAGCTGCCTCCTTCTATTTTATCACAGTATTATATCCGTCCAGGGCCATCTTCCAAGAAACCCTAGCTTTAGGCCTCAAAAATTAAAGGCCTACAAGTTACTGTAAGATATATCATATATATCAATAATAAAAGGTTACAATTTATTTTTTTTTGGAGATTTGGTTTGAGGTTGTTCGGATGAGTTAGTAAATTATGGTGAATCTCTCTCACATTAATCAATATATTTATTTCCTCTTTTGATTATGAATTTCCTCCTGTGTACATTTATTCATTTTTCCTATTTCTGACAATTTCAGTTTTCGAAAATCAACTATTTATCTCTGTCCCGTTTGACAATATCTATAGATCACAATTCACAAAGTAAGTCTGATGTCTCAAATATATGAATTTTATTAAACAAGCTTAAAACCTCTTATTAAGGTTGACCTTAGACCACAAATTTCATTGAGCCGATTATTACGATTGCAGATAGTAGTAATACTCCATTTAAGTTAATCCTTGGAGTTTAGCTACTTGAGAACATGGAAGACGCTCAATGATAAGGTCATGCTTCTTTCCACCCCCCACCCCCCTTTTTTTTTTCCCTTTTGATGGGTAAGGTCATGCTTAATACAAAAATTATGATGTTTCATCAGCAAATACCCATCTAGGTCGAATTTCCATGCATTAGCAACACGCTTTAAAATATTGAAATTAATAGTATGAAGACTCCCCAGACTTGAATGTCATAATTTAGACAAATTAATTTCAGACCAATTGCACTAGGGATTCAGTTACTGGTATAGCTATTGCTGATAACTAAAATTAGGGATTATACCTGAACAGTCTCCAGCTTTTCCAGTGCGCGTTTCAGTGGTGGTGTCATCACACCATATTTCTGAAGAAGGGTTCTAGCAGCTTCTTTGTCGCCTCTTGCTTGTATTGTGAGAATTTCCCTGCTCAAGCTCGCAACACTATCTTCAACCTTTGAATAGAAGCGAATCAGTGACTTCATTGGAAGAACTGAGTGAAAATGAAACAGCGAGTCCCATTATGTCATACCTTTTCAAAGTCAACGGCAAATGTTTCATCAGGATGCAAAATAAATGCGCCTTTCTCGAACAAATAGTTAAACTGCAATGCCTGTCCTTTCCTGATTGTGTTTGAAAAATTAAAGACCGCTGAGAACAATACAATGTGGAAAGGTCAAAGACTAAAGAGGATGACAAGTTGACAACAATGCATACCCATGAGCTTCCTCTAATCCAAAGCGTACCGAGCGGAAACATCCAGCAAGAAAAGAGACATACATTGACTTGGCCAGGCTTTTCGGAAGCAAATCCTAGGCCATATAAGAGCAAAGATCATTGTCTTTTGATTTTGTTTATCATAAGGGAGAGAAGGATTATAATGCCAGTATCACTCTCAAATTGAAAGATCTTATAAACTTCTACTATAGTAACCTTCAGCCAGCCACATAACATATATTTGCCACAAGTTTGTACATGGGAAGGCAATAAGATAGCTAATAGACCATAAAAAATTCCTCTAACAAGTAATATTCTACCAGGTTCATACACTACTAATGACATATTAAATATATCTTCCACTTTTCTGATGATCCCCAGCTCCTTCTTGCAAACACTAGAAAATGGCAGAGATATACTTTTCTAAACTCCACATTGTAAATTTAATAAAAGAATAAGTTGGGCCAGGAAAGGAGCCCAAAAGAGTGACTAGGCTAAACACTTTTACAAACCATTAGAAGCTCATCAGAGAGAATAGCATGTTTTCTTTGTAATCCATATGGAGACTAGGCTTCGACAAGGATTGGACAAACTAGGCTTCATTGGAGGGTCTATGGACCGCCTTAAATAGAGGAAAAAGTCTCCCAAATAAAGATGCAGTCCATATGGAGACCTTCTAAAACATAAGCTACATAATATTTATTGAAGTAATAAGATAATAGTAAAACACTGATTTCCGTGAGAGGTTATAGAACAATCAATAAATATATTACTGATAGCTTATATGTATCTTGTTTGACCTCGGTAATTTCTTTAGTCGCCACACATAACACTGTTTTGCCAATCAGATTCATATTCTATTTAAGACTCTAAGAAGACATATTTTGAAAAAAAGAAAAGCCCAATTAGTAAAGGTAACATTTTTTCCAAGAGTTAAACTATAATATTCTACTTCTCACCAAGAAATAATCTAATTAACCTAAAGTATATTTTCCTCAATAAACCACAAAAACAGAAAAAACTAAGAAAAACAATGTAAATTAGCTAGTCTTCACTCTTCAAGCAAAATACTTTTTGATAATGATTTTTTTTTTGATAATGTCAAGCAAAATACTAACTCTATATGCAAGAGTGAACTGCTCTTAATCAGCTGTCATTTAGTTTCTTACCTTGTCCATTAGAAACCTAAGAGCCCAAAGCCCAACAATATCTGCCTTTGCTTCTTCCAGTGATGAATGAAGTTCTTGCAGCTCCTATAATATGGTGCAGGAGAATTTTATGTCAAGATGAGGTCATTAACAAAAAGGAATTTTCTGTCAAGATGATACGACAACAGATGAAAAAGATAACAGGAGTATTTAAAAAAAAAATTATCCAGAAGCAATGAGATGGAATCTGATATTTCAAAAAACAATCAGAAGAAAAGTGATAGAAAAAGGAGGACATAAATTTGGAGAAATAAAGCATAGGTTAATACTGACTAGTCTGACAGTCGACTTCTGCCCATTCGGAAGTGTGATTGTGTGAGGCCCAATTCCATGGCAGCACTCATGACAAATTGTGTGAGTGAAGAAAGATTCAAAGTCCACAAAATCCCGTTGTTCTTCCATAATACACACATCAGCTATAGGCTTAAGGATAAGCTTGAACCTGATCAAAGAACCAGCGAAAGTACATAATCTCTAAATATAAGAATGTCAGAGGTGCTTACAACTGTTTGTTTGATCAGTGACATAGGAAATCACAGAAAAGGGAGGAGAAGGAATTTGTACTTTGCTTCTGAAACATTCTTAAGCATGACCATTGACGTTCCTCGATCTTTAACTATACGTTCATCGTTTGGAAGATTAAATGCAACTGTTTGAGGGCCCTTCACATCCTGCCAAAGAAAGGAAACTCTAAACAGTAATTGTCCCGAAACCTGAAGTGACCAATTTAGTGGTCTTTGCTCCCCACTTGTGTATACTGTGCTTTTGGCGAGAAAGAGAAGAGGTGCCAAGCAGGAACTACCTATGCTGTAAGAACAGAGAACAATGCTTTTCATTTTGAAAGTTCTTTAGCATCAGTTCGTACAAGGCTAGCACTCACTTTTGTGTGCAGTCAAAAACGACAATTTGCAACTTCTCAAACAAAATATATGTTGGGTTAGCTTTCAAGTTCGTAATCCAAGTATATGTTACATTGTTCCTACTTCAGCACCTGAGTTTACAGGCATTTTAGTAAAGGAAATAATAGTCCGACTCTAGTTTTCAAGGAAAGAAATCCAACTAAACAAGAATTGAGCCCCATTCGTCTTTGAAAAGTCCAGAAATTCTTTTGGGAGGCATCATCTCGTGAGTTTTTCCGACTCTGTAGCTCTTCTTTATCAATTTTTTTATGAAGCAATAAGAGATGTCATTACTGACATCAAGAAGATTCAAAATATTACAAAAGTTAGGAAAGCAAAAAAAAACTGTCATCTCTTCTTCATCAATTGTTAATGCTGCCTTTTGAAATTAATAAAAGCCTAGCTTGCTTTCACTCCCAAAAAGGAAAAGGAATCTTCATCCTCCCCCCACCCCTGCTTTTCTTAATTGACTTTATAGTCTTAAAATCTTCATTGGTGCTAGAAGAATTTTCATCAGTAAAAGTATCCTTTCCTCCATTTCCACCCATTTTTACATGGAAAAAGAGCTTGATATTAAATTTCTTTTAAAAAAAGATAAAACTTATTCCTCTCGGTGCATCCCTAAATCTTCATGGCATATTCTCCCTTTCTTTCTTTTCTTTTAAATTGTAAAAGTAGATGTCATAGAGGTTCCTGTCAGTCGTAACGATGTGCAATACTGTTCCAACTCATCCAGCAAAGGAGCAGAGATCTCAAGATTTACTCAGAAAAAAGCTTGAAAGGAATAATCCCTACAACTTTGGGAACAGATCTTACTTTGTGAAGACTTGGACTGCACAATCACAGACACAAACTCGCAGCACACATGTAAGACTTTTATCTGGCGTTATCTTCCCAAAAATTCAGTTTTTGTGAGATAAAGCTAAGGAAACATTTTCTTTTAGATGAGTTTCACAAGGAGAAAAAGATCTAAAATAAGCTTCATTGATGTAATAAAAAAGACTCACCCCTGCATTGTAAAGAAGCTGGATAACCCTGATGGGAGCAGCTGTAACATTTTCTGACTTGTAAATATTATCCATTGGCAGATTCTTCTCCAAAATCTAGAATAGCTTATTTTCAGCAAGTAAAGGGGGAAATAAAGATATAATGGAGCAAAAGTTGATATAGAATGGGGGTCTATAGGCACCTGCAGATGATCACCAAACAATTTGAGTTGAGCTGTTGCTTTGTCATCACGGACTCCTATAAATGCCTCAAATGTTGCCTAGCGGATAAGATTGCATTAGCTATATGCATCACAAGAAAAAACGTACAAGGTCCAAATTTCCCACAACAATTTTATTATCAGCAAGCAAAAGATTTTATTAATATCAAAAGAGTCAAGCTATAGGATCGTGCTGCACATTACGAAAGGATCCATCATTTACAAGCTACTTTCTTGTAATGAGCTAATGAATCAAAGTGGCCCAGAAGCTCTGTCCATGCCAAATTTAAATCAGCTATTTCGCGCAGCATATGAGCTGCTACATGGACACAGTCTAGGATATATCACCTATAAAGTGGCTACACAACGTAATGTCAAGTTCCACAAGACCCTAAACTGAAATGAGCTTCCCAAAAGGAAAGTAAGTCAAAGGCTAAGTACTGTATCTGCGACTACCATAGAAGAAAAATGCATGTGGCAGTGATCATTGAATTTATATATATTAAGTACTGTATCAGCAACTGGAGACAACATTAAATGAATAAATGGCATAATGCACCTCCCTTTTATATATATTTCCAGTTTACTAGTCATCTGAATCCATCAACATTATGAGATAAGTTTTTTGATAATGATTTTTTTTTTTTTGATAACCAAAGTTTTTTGATAATGATTTCAATGTCTCAATCTTGGGTCTGCGCTGTTCAGCATTCAAAAACCAGCTGATCCAAAAGTTTGACCCTCATTATCAAACAGTAAGCCAATGTGGTACAATACCCAATTGTAAGTTTGAGCATTCTGGATGACGGCAGCAAATCCGAATCATACTAGAAATTGTAAGCAAGGATCGAGTTTCAAAATTAGTTGATACCTTGTATCCAAAAAGTGAATCTTCATATGTTTCATATGGGCCAATGGTGACATCTAACTTGGAGTCCTTCATAAGTTAGGAAGCAAAAGAATCTGTCAGCTCTAATAGTGACTGTCAAACCCAGAAGAAAAGCATATATAAATACTACACACTGCTTAAATAGCAAGCTGAAACTCATCAAGGCATTTTTTCCCGAAATCAAGGCATTTAACTTGGGAAGAATTGGAAGAACACATTAAGGAGGAAATTGGTTCCACACTTCAAACAAATATGTTAAGGACAGTGCAGGCACCAATATCAGTCTAATAAGTTTCATACTTCCCCTTTCCAATTTTTTTTTTTTAATTGTTAAAGGTATTGTATTGAATATCCAGCAACAAGGAAGTGCAGTAGGAATATATACAGGGGGAGCATTACTGCTGCAAATGTAATGAACCCTTTTCCGATTGGCAACCTTGTTTAAACTTTTAACATTATACTTCTGCTATGCCTAATAAATAAAGTAAAGACAAACAACTGAATTTGATAATCCTAACTTTGCTATTTCAGCCCTAGCCCATGAAGCATTTGAAAAAGAAAAATTAAATAAATGAGAGCCCAAAAACATAAGCAGAAAATCAACAAGATTCAAGGAAGAAAACGATTTCATTATATCAAGGACATAGCTGATATCAATTCCCAAAGTTTGGATACCAAAGTTGGAAATTCATTGGCAGTGAATTTGACTAATTTTGCTGCTTTCTATTCTGCGAGTACTATCTTACTCAATAGTTTGAGAAATCAATTGCAAAAGTTGCTCAAACTGTTACAGTTAAAGAGTAGTCTTGTGTAACATTAAATTTCATCGGATAGACTTTCTTAGCCATTGCATAAGAAATGCCGACCCATCAGCTCAAAGAAAATAAAGAGAAGTCATCAAGATAGATCTTCATAAAATTAAATAGTGCCAAAAATATGCACTATAGCCAGAGAAGCAGTAACAGCATCCTTACCAACTCCATCCAGGCGATATCTGAATCATAGTAGTCATTTGAAAGGAAGGCATCAGACTTGCTAGAAAGAAGTCTCTTTAAACTGAAAACAAGAGCAACTTACCAAGTCAACCTGTATATGCCAAGATTCAAAATAATTAAATACCTAAAACAAATCGAATACCTAGATGAGCTGGCCATTTCTCCTGCTTCACGAAGCAAGGTGGCTGCTTCAGCAAGAAGAGAGTTGTACTCTTGAGAATAAGGAACCACATACAGATCATGAGAAGAGCTAGTGACATTTTCCGTTTTTTGGGATATTGTATCTTCAAACAGTGATTCACTATGCCTTCTAATAACATTGAAAAAGCCCATTGCTTCTTCCCGTTTATCTTCTTGAAGACTATCTTTCCATAAGTTGAATTCCTTAAAGAAAAACAAAAAGGCAAAGACTACATGTTTTTACCTTGGTTAATATCAGCCAAGGATATTCAGAGCTGAGAATGGTTTAGAAAAATGACTGTAGAGAAAAGACTATTTTTAAGCATATGAGAAAGCATTGCCATGGTATACCATTTTGTCCATATCTGGTGGATAGAAATTTGCACCAGGAGGTTTCGCAGCAGGAAATGCTGTTCTATATTCAAGACCCTTCCAACCTGGTACAGGCTTTGTTGCGTTCGGAAGCAGCTTGACAGCTGAATCTGCAGTCGTCAGAAAAGCCTTGTTTTCATCCAGGCAAGACCTAACAATGCAAGAGTGAGCTCAGAAAGTTCCAATCAATAGTCACCTTGCAATAATGAATCCAAAAGAAACGAAATTGCCATTTGCGTTCAAAGCAGAGGATTATGATACAGAGGTATACTGCAACAGATCATAACAAATAGTGCTGGTAGAGAAACACTCTATTGCAGATAAGTCCTTTTTTTTTTTTAATTAAGGAGTTATATTAACTGTCATCAAGAATCAATAACAGATAAGCCTTGTAGAAGTTCGAAGGATATTCAGCAGAAAATTTACTTCGATAAGGAAATCCTGAGGCAACTACTTGATAAGCAGTTCATAAAAAAATGGCAGCAATGATACCCAGAGATCGTAAGGTGACAACACGAGTGTGATGGGAAGTATTGAGTTGGTTTGGAGTACAGTGGTAAATATTGCATACAGTAAAGGAGATGCTTTTCAGCTGGACCTATAGAAGAAGGAAGAGAATACACAGGGCTCGGGGTGTTGCCTAACTGGCACTTTTTTAGGTCTCGCGGCCGGAGGGAAATAGGAGAACTTTTGATGAGGTAGAAACCGATTTTATACATATAAGGAATCGCCTTTTTTTAAATGTATCCATGAGGTTCTAGTCTGTATAAAAGAGTGGTTGCACTAAGCAGAAAGCTGTACTGTTTTGTAGGTTTGCTATTTTTTGGTATATTTCTTGTATACAAGATATTTCCCTTATTTAATAAAACATTTACCTAATAAAAAAGTGACTCGAAATATGCCCATTTTCTTTGACTTGTTTACATATAAACTTTCAACTAACAACGTTATTGCATTCACCTATACCCTGTTCAAACATACATATTCACCGGAAGCAAATAAAGACACAAAAACACAGAGAGGAAGAAGGATCGAAAAGGGGGCATAACTTTTCATAAGGGGAACATACCATGGACTTTTGTTTATTACGTAGTACATCCATTTCAATTTGTCCAACTGTGATTTGTCAGCATTTTCTTTTAACCAGTCTCTCAAAGATGGATTGCTATACCAAACCTATGTTATGGAATAAGAAAATGAAAGGAGCAAATCTATGAGCCACTGCAAGCACTGATAGTTGACAACATCACATAAATGACACATATTGGTTTTATTTCTCTGCGTGAAGTTTATAATGGATCACTTTCCTCTAGGTTGAAAGAACATAATACGGGACTGGGATAAAATATTAGAAGAGTTATGAAGGCACCTTTAAAATGTAAGGCATCATTTAAGTTGAACCTCAAAATCACAGGTCGTATGTCAAAGTGTAAAATGGTTAAAGTTAATTTATATCTAATTATAGAATAAATACTTACCTTACTAGACCTCGAGCAATTACCTGTCATATTTAAATGGCCTACGACTCCTATATAAAGAACTCCTCTTGTACATTGCTAATCATCAATTCAACAAGTTTCTATCTTCTGTTTTCTTTTCTTTTTTAAATTATCTTCGCATGATTTCGGAACTTCTACAATCTTCATAGAGACGTAATTAACTTCTCATCTACTCAAAGTTTTTTATTCTTTTTCATAATATTCTGGTCTTTGTTATGAGACATTTCTAGCAGTACCACTTTTACTCTCGGTGACTGTTCTGAATTCTCCATGCCTATTTTTGGTGATCCTTCCGGGGGAACTGTCTCCTCCGACCACTATTTTGGCCATTTTTCAGAACATCTTTTTGCTTTTCTTTACAGGATCAAAGACTGGATATTGAGGTCTTCCTTTTAATATTAAATTTACAGTTTCGAAAAGGTCTTGTATACTTCTATATCTTAATAATATCAGAGTTTGGATATTGCGCTCATCCTCTAAACATTATTTTTATTCACTGTTCCAGGAAAAAAGTCTACTTCCCTCCCCATGGATATATAGTAGAGCGCTTAGCTAGTTAGTTTTGTCTGACTGCAGTGACGAGGAAATAAAAGCGATCCGCCATACTCAACATGGCTTTCCAACTTTGATTTGCAAATTCAAGTTATTTCAACAACTTAACTTTGAGGGAACATGTTGAAAGTCATAAGAACTAGAGAAGTTACATTTGTCTAGATTCACAACTTATCTAGTTTATTATATTTTGTGACAAGTCTAGTACCAACATATCTATATTCATTGAATTTGAGTAAGGAAAATATATGGAAGATACCGTATAATATTTATATTTAGTTATGGAATAATTGCTCACCTCAGTACGCACAGAGAATAATTAACTACCATATTGACCAAGCCTAAGCTCTAATGTAAGAACCCCTCTTGAACATTGTTAATGATCAATTCAACAAAATTAATGAGATACTCTCTTTACTTGCTACACACTTCCCGTCCCCCACCCATTTTTAGATAAGGTAAATAATATTATTGATGTTGGGAGAAAGCTACCATATAGGAGCAGTATACAGGTAATATAGAGAACCTACATCAATTTCTTTGAAATGAATCACAGTCAAATATTTACTAATTTCTTTGAAATGAATCACCAATAAGGACTTGGTAACACATGGTTTTAAACTGCCGTGCCCATGTCCACAAAGAAAGTCAACTGTTTACTAATTTCATAGAAATGAATCAACAACAAAGACTTGGTAACAGAAGGTTTTAAACTAGTCTAAGGTACTAGGATCAAAAAATTTGTTCAATTTCAACGTATCTAAATTATTTTCAGGATCTTCAATATATATGGTTAAATATATACATTTTGACCTAACTTGAAAATTGATTCAGTCCAACAAAAAAAACTAGCCTGCCTTTGACTGAGACAACCAAATCCCGTCCTTCAGATTGATTATGATTCATTTTGCTGTGCATCACACAAACCTAGGAACGTTAGAGCACATTCTTTCCATATTGAAGATGACAACAACATACATATCAGTCATGACAGTGATGATACTGCAATCTATTAAGGCTATGTCCTCAAGATTATACAGCACCACCGACAACCCCACACCAAAAAGGGAAAAGAAAGAAGAAATTGACTTCTTGCTTCATCAAAAAATAAAATCTAAAATTTTGGTTAACAAAGATTAATTGCAGAGGCTATGTGTATTGCAAATTTGTACTGTTGGTCTAGACTCTACCCTATCAATAATATCGATCATCTTTTGGATTTCATTAGTTCCTTAGCTCTGGCTTAGCCAATTAAGTATAGAAGACGGAATATTTTTTGTAAGCTCAAATGCCAAATCATGTACTTCTTGCATCTTCTGGATGCCATCTATTGAAATCACTTACTTTATCAAAAAAAGATTAATTGCAGAAGCATAGTAGAGTACTTGCTAATCTGAACTAATATACACTCTCTCAACCTTCTTACGCATCAGAATTTGAACTCTGACTAAAAGACGCTGTGATTATACCTGCAGATAAAAGATCTTGTCCATGATTGTTGCAGCTTTGACCAGAAGAGTTAAGGCTTCTTTGTCTGCTGCAGTCAGCCCAGTCAACTGTCCAAAAGAGCTGGCATCAGTGACCACCATTTAGGAGAAGCCATAACTGTTTCACTAACTCAATTTTTTCTTTAATTAAATTGTGTAACTCTGACATACAGAGATACACAAAGAAGATAGAGGAATAAATAAATAAAAAGCCCCCATAAGACCGGAGCAGAATTTCATTAACCGATAGAACCCAGAAAAAAGAAAGAATAAAAGAAACGACCTAACAAATGATCATTTCTTTACTGTGCAATACCCAACAAGATGAGATTCCGTCACACTCTCTTGAAGAAATATGCAAACAGCTGAAATCTGACACCCTTTCAGAACTATAGGCAGTAAGTTGTCACTATTAGCCAGCTAGTTTTGCTTAGCTTTTTACTAAACATCACAATTGTATCTACCAATGTCAAAACCCAAAAGCTCAATGAGTAATGTTAAACCTGTTCGTCAAATCTCCAGATCAATAACAAAAAATGGATTTGTAACAAGGAACGTGAAACTATTAAAACTACTTAAGGCATCACCTCCTCACCAAAATGGTAGTCCTACTTCCCTTTTTGGATTAACTTATAAGTGCTTTTAAGGATAACTAAGATATATAATGCTTAGAGCTAAACAATCGGAAGTTCACTAATTATGATAGATGCTCTGTACTGAGTTTCTTAATTTCCTTAGAGCCCAAGAANTTAGAATTGAAACCTCTGCAGAGAGGGAAGTACTAGCATAGCGGTTTAGCTGCTTGTCAAGAGTCAAACTTCTAGCTTCAGCATTTTCCTTGTACCTGTAGATATTCCATAGCAGCTAGCTCAGGTGCACAAAGTAATATAGTCGACAGGGACAGGAATATTATGCGATTGATTAAGGAAAGAAACCTGAAACCTTCACCTATATATGTTTACAGTGATACAAGGTTTATGCACAACGAAAAGGGAAAGAAACCAAGTTTGGAACATAGGACGCAATCTCATGCACAATTTATGGATAAGCTATATGAAACTAAGAAAACAGGTAATAAGAAATGTATTGAACTAATTACAGAAACATCACTGAACTACAAAAAAAATTGAAAATATATTTAAAAGAACCTGAAAGGAACCATAATGCACTTATATTTACAGCAAGCTGAAGTAACCATTCTCGAAGAAGAAATGATTAGGCAGTTATATACTAAAACTTTTTCTACGTTATATAAGACATACCTCTTTTCAATTATCGTAAAGAGCTGACCATATTCCTCATTCACATCATAAGGCACATAGTCAGGATGCTCTTGAGCAAGCACTTGTCTGTACTCCTCAAGAGAGAGATATTTTACAGCTGAAACTTCTGATTCCTACCAAGAAAGAAATGTCAATGTGACAATTTTGACTTTTGGTGCAACAGAGAATTTAGTTTAAAATGAGGAAGAGAAAAAAGGAGACACTTAATTATTTCAGAGCATTTTTACTCAGTCAACAAATAAGCTTTCAGAAGCTATGGTATTGGAGCTTCAAGTTATTAGATAGTGCATGTATATATTAGTAGGCTTAGTGCCCCACATTGGAACATAGGTAGTATGTATTGTGTAAAGTATATGTATAAATAAGGTTGAGTGTAAGGAAATAGTTGAGATGCTTATCAATAATATTTTTCTGTGCCTATATTTCTCACATGGTATCAGAGCATTAGTGAGAAACATACGGGAAAGCCAGATAGTCATTGTGCGTCAATTTCTAGTAACTTTCTAGCGCTTATTTACGTCATCTCAGTTTCTATCAGTGTTATGCAAAACCCACATCATCACAAGGTTCAGTATCCTCCGGCAAGCACCCCAGTCAGACCCTCCAGCAACAAACACCACATGCACGTGCCTTCAGAAGGTAGGGCTCCGGCGAGCCCGTCTATTGCACGCGCCGGCGCGTGCGAGTTTTTCCGGCCAGATGTTTTAACGATATTCTTCTGTGGTTGTGGTTGCCTGCCTCTTCCGACTCTACCAATAGAGATTTGGCTATTTTTCAGTCGCCAGAACAGTGCTTTTCCAGCAGTACCCTTGATATTCTCGGGCTTTTTCACTGTTTCCGCAAATGTTTGACTCTTTCAAGGTCGTATCAAGCATCTGAAGAGTGTTTAATCCAGTGTTGTGAAAAGCGAGCGCTTCCTCGCTTAAAGCGAGAAGCGAAGCGAGGCGAGCCATCGAACGCTTCTGTTAGCTGAAGCGTAGCATGTTTAAAAAAGCGAGTGCTTCCCATTAAAAAGCGAGAAGCGACGATGCGAAGCGATGCGTAAGAAGCGAGCGCTTCTCTGTATTACAGGGCTGCCAACCTATTTAATTAAAAAAGCTGTTCTTTTTTTAAAACATCATCGACCAGCAGCAACAGAGAAAGAAAGAGGCGACCTAGGGTTCAAGTTTTCTACACTTTTCAACTTCAAGATCATCGAGTTTGGTCCAGGTATGTGATTTCTTCTTCTTCCTCCTCCTCCTCCTCTGTCTTCTTCTTCTTCTTCTTTTTCTTTCACTGTTTCAGCGTCCAAATAACAGCGAAATGCTGGCGAATTTTTTTTTTTCCTTCAATTCTTCTTTCTCATTCTTCTCCTCTTCTTCTTCTTCATTTTCTTGCACTGTTATTTCGTTTGAAATGCTGCCCAATTTTTTCGTTTTAGTTATACTTATAATGCCCTTCTTCTTATTTTCATATCCTTTATTCTTAGTTCTTATTATCTTTCTTATGATGAAGAAGAAGAAGTTGAAGAAGTTGACGAGCAATATAATAATGATAGTGGAATACAAGAATTTGACAATCTTGTAGAAGAATAGGATGCTCATTTTGTGCTTTAATTGATGCTACTCTTTAGTTTTTACATTAAAGTATTGAACATTTGCTTACAGTTACATGTGTTGTCTATGCAGTATTTATTTTAATTTTTTTTTTTTTAAATTCCGCTTCACTTCAAAAAAGCGAGCGCTTCGCTTCTCGCTTTAAGCGAAAAGGGGCTTGTCGCTTTTCCTCGCTTCACGCTCTTCACAACACCGGTTTAATCCTTTTAGACCCACTTTGCAAATTTTTTCAGCAGGTTCCATTGTTGTTTGTGCTTTCTGGTTATTTTTTCAGCAATTTCTGGTGTTTTTCTCTCAGATTTGCTCTCTGGTTAGCTTCTTAGACCTCTCTTCAATCCAACCATGTCTCTCGGATTTGATGCTTTTAGTTCCAAAAAAATGTGGAAGTTGGAAATTCAAGTCCTATGATTACTTCTGAACCCTTAATGGGAAGTTCAAACTATTTAGCTTGAGCTTCCTCGGTTGAATTGTGGTGCAAGGGCCAAGGTGTTCAAGATCACATAACCAAAAAAGGCGAGTGAGGAAGATGGAAAGGCCAAAGCACATTGAAAGAAGGTTGATACTCAATTATGTCGTCTCTTGTGGTGATCAATTGATTTCAAGTTGATGCCTTTGTTTCGTCCATTCCAAATATGTTATTCGGTTTGGGAAGGCTCGCACCTTATACACTAATGACATATCTCACTTTTATGATGTGATATCTCGGATGATAAACTTAAGGAAATAGAAATTAGATATGTCTACTTACTTGGGACAGGTACAGGTAGTCATGGAGGAATTTGAGAAGTTGTTGCTAGTGTTGAAAAGCAATAGGAGCACAGGTAGAAGATGTTTCTATTCCTTACACTTGCTGGACTTCCTAATGACCTTGATTCAGTATATGACTAGATTTTGGCTAGTCCTACTATTTCTATAGTTGATGAATTATTCTCTCGATTAATTCGCCTTGTTGCACCACCAAGTGACACAGTGATCTCATCACAAACAGTTGACTCCTTGATTCTTGCATCTCAGATAGTGGAAAACCAAACATCTCAGACAATAGAGAATCAATGAAGAGGAGGTCGTTTTGGAAGATCTTGAAATGTAGTTATTGTAATAGGCTTAAACACACTCGTGAAGTCTGTTATTCTTTGCATGGTTAACCACCCAAATATGTTCATATTTCTCAGACTGCCACTACAGGTAACCACAGATTTTCTTTATCCTAAAGAAAATATAATGAAGATAGTTTGTGGAAGGTAGGGAAATTCTTGATGCCGCTCTGGCGGCTAGTGAAGTGGTTGACTCGAGAATAAAGCAACGCGAACCTGGGATCTTGTGCAAATTGGATCTGGGGAGGCCTTTGATCATGTTAAATGGGAGTTTCTTAATTTCATTATGACGAAAATGGGATTTGGTACTAGATGGAGAAAATGGATCAAGTTTGTATCTCTACTGCCAGGTTTTCTGTCCTGGTGAATGGCAACCCATGTGATTTTTTTGGCAGCTCGAGAGGAATGAGACAGGGTGACCCACTCCCTTATGTTGTTCATATTAGTGATGGAAGTATTGAGCAGGATGATGGGCAAAGTTGTGGCCGGGGGGTTGCTTAAAGGGCTTTTCTGCAGCGATTAGAGGATGTTGAATGACTTAATTATTAGGAAAGATTTGATTCTGATTGAGATTTGATTTTATTGTGATTGATTGTAATTGACTGTAAATTGATTGTAATTTATTTTCCTTCCTAAAATAGTCATAGAACTTACTGTATAAATGCCTTTATTTAGGGATGTAAGAAATACACAAAAATACAATAAGCCTTTTTTTCTACTCAAAAATCTACATGATATCAGAGTCATTGCTGCCTTATTGAGGTGAGTTATCTCCCTCGCAGCACTAGGGTTCTATTTTTATCAAAAAGGTCGGGTTTTCTCTCTTGGTGGCTGTCCGCAACACAAACCCCTTCTGGTTCCGTCGAGACATATTTGGTTTCCGGTGAGGCAGATTATTTTTGAGTTTTTGAGCAATTTTCTTCAGATTTCCTTCTGATTGAGCAGAAAATATGGAGGCATTCAAGGAGACGGTTTTTGGAGAAATCTTGTCTTCGGGTGAAATTCAGCTTCTTCGTCGCCTCCTAGCCAAACTTGACTCCGCTAATGTTGCCACATCCAATTATGTGCAATAAGGCTTTGTTGCTCACCTTAATTCTTGGATTGTTGATTCTGGTGCAAATAGACACATGACAGACTCTTCTAAAGGCATTCAAAACTATTCTCCGTGTCTCAAAGGAGATAATGTTAAAATAGCCAATGGTTCTTTAACACGTATCTCTGAAACAAGTTCTGTCGTTTGTACTCCTAATATTAAACTATCATCTGTGCTCCATGTACTTGAGTTCCCTGTCAATCTTTTATCTGTTAGTGCCATCACCAAAGCTCTAAACTGTAAAATCGAGTTTTTTTCCTGATCATTATACTTTTCAGAATCTTCAAACAGAGAAAAGGATTGTCAGTGGTAGATTGCATGATGACTTGTATATATTAGATGGAATTCAAAACTCTGGTCAAGCCTTTTTTGGAGAAAGTAAGGATGTCAACCAAGAAATAATACAGCGACATAGACGGTTAGGACACCCATCATTCTTTGTTTTGAAGAGGTTATATCTCGATTTGTTTTCAAGGACTCAATTTGAACCTTTGCTCTATGATGCGTGTGAACATGCCAAGCATACTAGAAACTCTTATCCTGTGAGTGATAATAGAAGCACAACTCCGTTTATGACTATTCATTTTGATGTATGAGGTCCTACACAAACTGTTTCTTTGTCTGGTAGTTGATGGTTTGTTACTTTCCTTAATTGTTGCACTAGGATGACTTGGGTATATTTGTTAAAAGCCAAAAGTGAAGTTTTCTTTTGTTTTCAGTCATTTCATAAGATGATTTGTAATCAGTTTGATGCCAAAACAAAAATCTTGAGAACTGACAATGACAGCGAATACATGGATAAAAGATTTGGTGCTTATTTAGAGTCCAATGGGATAGTCCATCAAACTAGTTGTCTTTACACTAGTGCACAAAATGAGGTTGTTGAAAGAAAAAATAGGCATTTGTTAGAAGTAGCACGGTCTCTTATGTTCACCATGCATCTACCAAAACCTTATTGGGGGATGCTATTCTAGTGGCTGCCTATCTTATCAACATAATGTCACTTAAAACCCTCAATTGTCAAAGTCCTCTGGAAGCTTTAAAGGGTAAGAATGAATATAATGTTCCTCCAAAGGTGTTTGAGTGTGTTTGCTTTGTCCACACTAGAAATTTTGGGAAACTTGATCCTAGAGCTATAAAGTGTGTTTTCATTGGGTATTCTCCGACACAGAAAGGTTACAAATGTTATCATCCTCCCTCTAGGAGATCTTTTGTTAGCATGGATGTTACTTTTCAAGAATCTGATCCCTATTTCAGTATTACCTCATCACCTTTTCAGGGGAAGAGCAGTAAGGAGGAAGAAGTGATTCTACCTAGTTCCATTACTGGAC